AGAGAAAGTGATAATCAAATTGGTAGACTTAAATGCTTTCATTTCAATTAACTTTCAGATCGTAATTGTAGTCGTAATCGTAATCAAAGGTTAATGTCTTTACATAGGGCATGGTTACCCATATTGCCCGAGCCAGAGGCTCGTGTATGAAACACAAGACAACAACCCACCCATCCCACCCCAGGGGAGGACATCCATCACACAGTAATCTCGTGCGTGGGAAATTAACATCTCCTACCCCTAACCCTGCAGGAGACAAGACCTCCATTTATTCGTCCCTATCCGAGAAGACTAGAATATCTAAACCATTTCTTGATGTTATAGAAAGGCAGCATATTCTTCTCAGTTATTTTAAGACCTTGAGGGTTGGTCCTGCCAGGGCTCGAACCCTTGACTTCCCGCACATCATTCCAGTGCTGTATCCATTGAGCTAACCGGGAGGCAGATGATGTTTGTTTTTTGTTCTTTTTTTTAATAGGTACAATGTTCTCAATGTTTTGGGTGGATTAGCAGCTAAAGAGACACGGGTCTCCATGTCCAAGGCAAGCATTGCTCTTTTATGCTGGTTTTTTTTTTTTTATTATTCTATATTTTCAATCAAATTTTAGTAACGTTGAATTTTTGAGAGGTACTTTTATTAGCTTTGTACATGTACCCAGTGGCTTTTACTCTTGACCCAGTGAAGAGCTCCAGGCACTTGGTTTGGCCAGAGTGTCCTTATATTGTGTTCTTGGGTAATACAGTCATGTTTATGTCATGGTGTCCATTCCAAGGGTTATAAATGAGTAACAGCAAACTGCTGAGGGTTTACCAGTTTGACTCTCTTCTTGTCCAGAAAGAGGGGCAATACTTCCTGCTCACCTCTATCTTTGGAAGGGTTTCGACCAATAGAAAGTTTGTCCTCACAAGTTTTCACCTCTCAAAGTGAGTTTGCTTCACCATGTAAAAGAAGTTTGCCATTATGCCTTTCAAAGACTAATGTTGTCGCATCTTTTCAATTATCACAGCATAAGTTACTTAATGTCTTGTCAAATCTGTGTACAAATGCTTCTAAAGACAGTTCCAACAACTACACTCTTTCCAAACTTGTTAAGGCAACAGGATGACGACACATCTATGGTCATCTTGATACCACTTATGTTAACTGAACGTCATGTACTTAATATTGACTGTCACACATTTAACATTTCTGACAAATGAGTAGCTTAGGATTAGCCACACCCTCACCCATCTGTTTCTCCTTGGGGGGGGGAGGGGGGTTCAGCTACATGTAAGTTAACAATAACAATGATTTAATTTTAACACCCAATTATTTCTATATGTGCTTTCATAGGCAAATGCATTGGGAATCAAAGGAAACCTGAAAGGTGATGGCATGCTAAATGGTGGCATGCTTATAGTAACAGCTGGTGGAGAGAAAGTTCTTCTTGATCACAAACAGGCATCTCCAGGGGACCATGTTGCCAATGAAAAAATCCTTGATGTCCTTGGGATAAAATCTGAAGAGTCAAAGAAGGAGGAGACAGAATCTGCGTCAGCAGCCGCAGCTGATTGTGGATGTGCTGTGAAGGAAGGGGAATCATAAAAAAATGTTAGAAATGGTTCTCACCACAGTAAATTTTAGTTTGGCAAACTGGAATGTTGTATTAATTGTTAATAATGTGCTTGCTCATCTGTGATAATAATGTCAGTAAATAGTGCTCTCTGAGAGACATATGTGTCAAGCTAACGAGTGGAAAACTGCTTTCTTCAACCTCAATCCTGTACTATCCTAGTTTTGCAATTGATGCTCTGGTTGTCTTATGATGCCATTGTGTTAAATGCTATAATAGCAACACATGGTGGAGAAATGTTTTGACAATTCTGGGCAGGTCCTGCTGCTTAGCTACAGGCTTAAGAGTTGGAGCCCTGCTGTTCCATCAAAAGTTATTTGTCTTGAAATGTTTGTTATGCTATTAAGAGAATATTACTTAGTGTTTTTGTTCTTAATGATGATTTCAACCCAGTTATGCCTTGAGGAGATATTCGGATCAAGAAAATTATAAACCATAACAAATGCTGAAACATTATAAAGTTTATGGACAATGTGAAATAAAGGAAATAGTTGTCATATCCTGCTGGTTTCTTTTCACTATTGCTTTCCCTGGCCAGAGGTTTATGGAAGAGGAAGACAAGAAAACCCCTTAAGAGAGAGGTGTAATTCAAATTTTCAAGACGTAGAGATCATGTGGCACATTGTGAAATTGCAAAGCTTTTGGAAGTACAGGAACCTTAAAAATCTTTGGCTCTGCTGTGGTCTAGGCTGTGACGTCATCATAGACGAAACGATTTTGGATGGCTCCTAAGAAATCTTTTGTTTGATTAGTTTTTAATGTGACTAATATTTTGAAATCTTAAGAAGGAAAGAAATCATTCAATTACACCGTTTACTTGAACAAGTCAGTGCTAAACAAAACTAGCGAATTTGCGGCAAACTTGCGGTTTTCCTTTTGAGTATTAACTTTGTTTTTCTCCTTCCTTTGATAAGTGCAATTTACGCCCCTCGGAAAACAATAATTAAATGCGAGCATACGTGCAATTGCTAGCGTGACTTTCTTGTCTAACAGTAACAGAGGCGTAGTTCTTTGCGGCGCATCGATTTGAAATAATCGCGGAAAAATTGCCAGAAGCTGTAAACACGCCATAAAAGGAATATATTTTGTTTGGGGTTTCAATGCTTCAGTGAACAATATCACTTATCTTTTTTGCCTATGCTAATCATTGTGAGCACATTGGGGTTAGTTTATTTAACGTGAACTTTACTTTTGATTACATATTCATCAGCCAATTAAATATCGTCTTATGTCTCTTTAATTCTCTTGTCCAATCAGCGGCTACCTTTCAAAAGAGCCCTTCAGGTATGTGCTGGAATTAGGAGCAGTCATACCGAAAAGCGAACTTACCTTGGGGGTGTGTAATCTTTTCTTGGTGTATTCTTTCGGTTTTTATTTCAAAGAAGGAGACAGAAGTTTATACACACCATGTCGGAAACAGACGAACTGGCTAACAAGCTCGCCCGACGCCAAGCTTTGAATGAAGACGAAGAAATGCCAAGACGGCAGCTACAAGTTTTCAATCCATTCACAGAGTTCAAAGAATTTACAAGGAAGCAGATTAAGGATTTCGAAAAGATGTTCAAGACGTGAGTGTTGGTTCATTTTACAAAGCTTTTGTTTATGATGAAGGAGTACCTAGATGAGGATTGGCCTTTGCGAGCCCAGAGGGAGTTGAAAATGTTAGACTTTCTCATACCGTCCCAGCTTATGAGTAATTGATACCACTTGGTTTTTAATTTCACAGGTCACACGTACTCGATGAAGCACTTCCTAGTTTCGAAACTAATATTTAGTTCCTTTCTGAAAGAATTGCGTTGTTACATGGTTCTGTTGCACTTACATTTCTGAGTAACTGTAGCTCCCTGTTTTAACCCAAAAGAGCATCTTGCCTAGCTTCTGCTAATTTCATAATCAACTATTGTTTTTATGGAATTCGTACTCAGAGTGTTTCTATTGCGACTGAGAATATGATGTTATGATTTACCTTCAAAATGACCCAAATAAGATGATTGGAAACGTTAAAAACGGCCTTTATTAAATAATTTTTTTTTTTAGAAATCTCAGAACATTGAAGCAGCGGGATACTAGATCCTAGTTTTAATTCTAAGTTCTTTTACAGTTCGTGTTCCGAGATTACATTCCAAACAAACATACGTAATTATATTTGTAAGGTATTTCAGTCCGGAAGGAGATCAGTTAAATCACTTTGATTTCTGATTGTGGGATTGTAGCAAGTTGACAGTTACACAGCCGTTGCATGACAACAGTTAGAATATTTCCCTTTCCTTGACCAAGAGGTGATAGCACAGACGAGTAATAGGAAGTAGAGCGTGTTTGATGAGGAAGTAGTAAGAGAATATGGCAGAAATATTTGAAATAGATTGAAGAACTTAAATTCTTACTATTGCAAAAGTGGAAAGTCTGTGAGCTTCTGTTTATCTGGCAGTTTATGAAAGCTTGAATGCAAAAGTTAGTAAAAAAAAAAAAAGGAAAAGGTAAAGGCCTGGAAACGAGGAGTGATGGTAATTTCTCCTTTTTATTTGATTATCTTTACACTTCCCAGTAGTCAGGCAAAGAGATTTGACAAATGTATCAAATGGAGGATGTGGTCTTGACATGACCCCAAATTCTCCCAACTTTTTACAAGGAATGGAAAACTAACTTTCACCCCAAAGATCTAAACAACTTTTCTGTTCACTGTCTGCCATGCATTATGTATTATGTTTAGCTCTTAGAATTTGGTACTGAAATAAACAACATCCACTAGTGGATGTTTTCTTTTTCCCTATGAACCTTTCTCCTTTAAAAATTTACGACATTTTAAGGAGAAATTCTATTCAGTCAGCCCTAGAGGTGAAAGGTTTAAATCTTGTCTCTTAACTTCAGCCCCCCTTCCCCAGTCCTCTTTCTTCTAGTAAACAAGAGCAGGACTGGGCTCTTTTTCAGATGATGGTCAAGTTGCATGAATGACTACTTTTTTCTTTAGGTATGATGTAAAAAATGATCATTATTTAGATCTCATGGAAATGAAGATGATGATGGAAAAATTAGGGGCTCCTCAAACGCATGTCGGACTTAAAAACATGATAGCAGAAATTGATGAAGATAATGATGGCAAAGTCTCCTTCAGAGAGGTAAGCTTGCCGATAATCTTTTGAGATCTTTATAAGATTCTGAGGGACTAAGGTCTCAAAGATGTTGAAGTTGATGAAGCAAGTTATTTCGAACAGAGTTCCCTTGCTTTGGGCAGATAAATTCCTAGCAAGTCTCAGAATGTTAATGCAAGAGCAGAGGGTAACTCTTTGTTCTGTTTGATTTTTTTTTCTTTCGAGCAAGAAGTTTATGCATCCTGTATATGATTCACTCAAGATTGTAAAGAAAACCAAATAATTTTAGGAAACCTGAAGAAAATTTGCGAGGTTGTGAGGAGTGTTGCTGTACTCCAAGTTGCTTCAAGTTGGTCTTAACCTTTTAAGGAATTTAATAACCATCAGATAGTTGAAGCTAACTACTAAAGTGTTTGTTTGAATTACAGTTTCTCTTGATCTTCCGCAAAGCTGCAGCCGGTGAACTTCTGGAAGACTCAGGTTTGAGTGCTCTAGCTAGACTTGCTGAAGTCGATGTGGATGAAGTAGGTGTGGGAGGTGCAGCCAAGTTTTTTGAAGCCAAGGTTAAAGAACAAGCATCATCAAACAAGTTTGAAGCTGAAATTCGCCAAGAACAAGAAGAGAGGAAAAAGGCGGCAGACGAGGCTAAAGCCAGGAAGCAAGCATTTAAGGCTAAGCAAGCAGCATTTGGGGCTCACTAAAAGCAACATGCTTGCCTTGAATGAATTTAACAGTATGGTTTTCAAATAACTTTTTAAATCACTAAAATAAATTACAAGAAATTCAGACAAATAGTACAGTTTTACTGTACAGCTCTGGTGCTGTTGCCATCTCCATTTAATTAACTGGTACCTGATTTTTTTTGTGGTTGGATTTGTATTGACAGTTGATTTCCTTTTTGAAATCTGCCTTGACTATGATTGCAATCAAGAATAATTCAGTAAAGAGATAATCACAGAATAAACAAACAAAATTAATAAGTTTTGCCAGTTGCACAGTATAGTAAGGTGTAAGCTCATACCAGATTTCTTTAACAAGAAATTTGCCATTGTTTTCTTTGCTCTTCAAGTCTTGAATTTTGTTCCTTAACTCCAAAACTTGCGGAAAAGCTGAAAGAGTGATTCTAAATTAGATCAGTTCTACCTAAAGGAATTCATATATTTTCCTGACAAGGACTGATAAACAGTATTTTCAAATCAGCTAGTTGAACCAACATAGTTCAGATAAATAATTATGTAACAATCATTAAAATTATTACTTAACTCTCAAACTTGGTGCCACTACTGATGCAAGGGATTACTAGGTGATGTGTACTAGAATTGCACCATTGCAACACTGAACCACTTTCATTTCTAAATAGCATGCTGCATGATTTTTATGTGATACAAATAGTTTACACAAGTTATTGAGTTGAAACTAGCACACCATGTTCTATGAAAGAAAAAAAAATTCCCTCGTTAGGTTTTGGCCAATCAATCTTAGAGTTGGGGGATGTTTAGTGAAAATAAAGGGGACATTTGTACAATGAGGTCAACTGGCATGACATTGTGAAATTTTTCCTGTAAGATTTAGACTTAAATAATTATACCAATGTGGGAGGTCAAATAAAGGTAGTGATAATATTTTTCACATAGAAAAATAATAATCCTGAAGGATTCTTGTGAAGGTAGTAAAATGACATCATTGTTCAAATTTCCTATCAACAGTTATACCACTAATCTCTTTTTGTTGTCCAGAAAAAACCTGTTTGATACCCAACACCTCTTGTTATTTGTTTGACACTAGGCAGTCTTGTTCTTATAAATGTTTTACTGTTTAAGTTTTGTTATTACCAAGTTATTGCTATTACAAGAAGATTGAATTTATTTCTTGAGAAAATTAAAATATCTCACCATTAATACTCCACAAGGGCATTTAGATTGTAATCTAGCTGATAGAGCTTTTGAAATTTCCATTTATGAACAGAAGTGTGGTTTTGAATTTTTAAAGCAATAAAAAATTATTTTCTATCAACTTTATTGATTAATGGTGTAAACATATTTAGACTTATTTGAGACCCTCTATGGCCTGTTTTTGTTGTTGTCTTTTTCCGTAATTCCAATTTTCATGAAGGATCCATGATCCACAACAAGATAAAATAAACATCTAAATAGCCACTTTTGACTCATAAATGGTTGGTTCAGGCACAGGTAGCCCTAGCCTGATATACAAGCACATCAATCTACACTACATCATTACTACACAAAAAGTTTAGTATGGAGAACTTTATTGCATTTTGAAACCGAGAATTGGCAGGATTTAAGAATGAAAAGAAAGCTATCCTCATAGAATTCTTGTATTGCTTGGCCTCCAGTGTGATTTGTGAATCCTTGAAACAGAAAAAGATGACACCGTGCGTAGCATTCTGGGAAAATGTACCACTTTTGATGTTAATTTCATTTTCATTTCATGAAAATTTGTTTTCTCTGGATTGATATTTGTGCAATACAAATCAATAAATATTATTATTATTACTATTAAACAAACAGTTTTGCAATACCAGAAAGGTGTTACACTTCAGCCACCTTATCACCTCGGTTTTCGACAAGAAATAAATGTCTTTGCTCAATTTGGTGCCATGAATGTCATTTTCATCTGGCTTCAACTCGTGACTTTGTTTAACAGTGGCCATGTTTATTTACATTGAACATGGTACATTTTCCCAGTATGCTACACACTGCATCACCTTTTTCCATATCGAGGATTTACAAATCACACTGGAGGCCAAGTAATATAAGAATTCAAGGATTGGGTCGAACCAGTAATTTAGTGGAATTAAATTAAATCTTCAACATTTTTCTGGAAATGTCTTGTGGAAAAAGTGGAGGAACTAAACAGTGCCTACATTGCTGCCATTTGACATGAATACTTCTGGGTGCAAAAAAAAAAAATACATAACTGAAAGGAGGTCTGCTATTTGTTAACTTAACTCCCAGACAAACATATTTTTGTTTCTACATACAATCATTTTCCTCATACTAATCCTTAATTTCTGTCACTGTGTAGTCATGTGCCAATCAACATCAACCGCCTCCCGGTTAGCTCAATTGGTTAGAGCACTGGATAGTTGTGCGGGAGGTAGAGGTCAAAGGTTCGAGCCCCGGCCAGACCAACACTCAAGCTCTTAAAAATAACTGAGGAGAATCCGCTACCTTTCAAGACATGGATAGATAGATAGATAATAATCTTTAGACAGGGTGCGTTCTCACAGAAGTGGTTTTCAGAACGGCCCTGTAAGCACCCACCCAACCCACCCCAGGGGAGGACATCCATCACACAGTATACTCGTGCGTGGGAAATTAACGTCTCCTACCCCTAACCCTGCAGGAGACGGGACCTCCATTTATTCGTCCCTATCCGAGAAGACTAGAATATCTAACCATTTCTTGATGTTACAGAAAGGAAGCATATTCTTCTCAGTTATTTTAAGACCTTGAGTGTTGGTCCGGCCGGGGCTCGAACCCTCGACCTCCCGCACAACAGTCCAGCGCTCTATCCATTGAGCTAACCGGGAGGCGGAGTATGAAGGTTCATAAGGTGACGTGTAGCTGGTCAAATTACAATTCATTTACTTAGACATTCAATNAGTAAATTATCGTATTCAATTCAAGATCTTGATGACCATTTTAAAGGCGATTCATGGCATGGCTCCTTGTTATTTAAGTAACCTAATCTGTATTAGATCATCGTCTACTGAGATATTCGTTACGCAATAATAACACTATATTTTTAGAACGTCCAAAGGGGGTTAAGCGCACAACTTTAGGTGCCCGCTCATTTCATGCCTCTGCGCCTGCGCTGTGGCACAGCTTGCCTTGCCTGAATGAATGAATGAATAAAAAGTAAATAAATAAATACAAAATACCGATAAGATTGTAGTGCAGATCTAAAACACTAGCTTAAAAAGATAGGTCTTAAGAGATTTCTTAAATAGCTCTAGTGAATCAATTGTGCAGATATGCGCAGGCACAGAGGCATGAAATGGGCGGGCGCCTAAAGTTTTGGGAGATTTCGAAGCTAAATTATTCAGTTTTGCAAGTGAATGGCTCAGAAGAAAAGGTTTACATGGGTTTTACGCTTAATCAATATGTAGCAAGTCATGGTTGCTGACATAGCCTTTTACAAAAAAGAAAAAAAAATGACCACCTATTCCAGCACTTGAGTGGGACATTTGAACACAATTTTTTACCCTAAGGGGGGGGGAGAGGGGAATTTTAAAAAACCAATCTTCAAAAGTTCAAACACTGGAGGGGGGTTGCCAGGGTTGGAGGGTGCCATGGGGGGCGGGGAGAGATTTTAAAGCTTTGAGTTGATCGACACAACAATAAAGTTTAGATCAACTTGTAATTCAGGCCTGGGCTTCCTGTGGTTTAGGTTGATTCCCCAGGTAGGTCAACAGTCAATCCGTTATATTCTTGGAAAAGTGGGTGAAGAACTGTCAAGAAACCCTGACATTTGTGGTGTAACAATGCCTGCTACAGTCACCTGTTGTCTTGTAAACTTACCTTTTAAGCTGCTGGTGTGCATCGTCCCCTCGGGGGAGGGGTATAGACATTAAATCGTTACCATACTATCCAAAAACGACATGGATATAAATAAATAAAAAAATGTGTATATTTACATTGGCTAGAATCAAGTTGTTGAACAAAGTGACATGTATTTCTTATCCATTTCTTCCAAACCTTTACCATCAGAAAGCCATGAAATTAATTCCCTCACAGGACAAAGCTCATCCTCAAGCAATGAATCGCCACAAAATTTCATTTTGTTAGTGACTACCTCTCCATTAACAAGAACTCGGAAATAAAAACCATCTGCAGAGTCTTTCTGCTCTGACGTGTCAGCAAGAATGTCCCTCCACAGTTCAAATACCACACGAGTAGCATATGGAGTCCATCTTGTTTCATCATGAACTCCAAGATTTATCAGAAGTGGTGTTACAGTAGTGTCATGACCACTGTACAGAACAAATTTAAGAGCAGATTTTTGTTGAGTCTTGTCAATCATTCTTTTTGCCATCTGAATCAACATTGGATTAGAGGCCACATCAGCTATTCCAGTGTAATTCTGTGCAAGAGCCCACAGAGCAGAATCCATTGCCCGGGCTGCTAATGATGGTGTTACACAGCCTCCAGGCCCACAAGGAAGGGGGAGGTTATGGCAGTAACGAGTGTATATTGCATCAGCCAAACTGCAATGATAAATGTATTTTGAATTCAAAACTCAACTGGGCAAAAGGTTGCAGTTTTCTACAGAATCAGGGCATCAAACAGATTTAGCTTTTTTGTTGTGGGATAGTAACTTTTGTAAGAAAAGAAATCCAAGCCTTATCCTAATCCCAAACCTAAAGCCTGACCCCTTTGGAGCTGTATGGGTTAGTTGACTTGAGTCAAAACATACTCCTGAATCGTAAAGGATGGATTTTGTGCCATTCCGTTGTTTAGTAAAATCATGACTGATCCCAATATGACAAGTAACTGAAACTCTAACTGTTAATTTATAAACTCCCAAGTGAGTGACCATGACAGAATTTCTCTTTAAAATATACATATATACATACATACATATATACATAGGTTAGTTGACCACTCGCCATGGGGGCTTTTCAGGGCCAATTCCCACCCATCCCACCCTAGGGGAGGACATCCATGACACAGTAATCTTGTGCATGGCAAAGTAATGTCTCCTACCCCTAACCCTGCAGGAGATGGGGCCTATGGTTTATTTGTCCTTATCCGAGAAGACTAGAATATCTATCCATTTCTTGATTATAGAAAGGTAGCAATTTCTCCTCACTTATTTAAGACCATGAGTATTGATCTGGCCAGGGCTCGAACCCTCGACCTCCCACACAACACAATCCAGCGGTCTAACCAATTGACCCAACTGGGAGGCGGTGCAATATCAGGCAAACAAGTGATGAGAATAGAGAAAAATATATTAGCTAGGGGATTAGTAATTCATCCAGTACCAAATTCTCTAAATTAACATCACCAGAATTGTATAGCAAATGGTAAGGAGAGTTACCAAAAAGATCTTAGGAATGACAGGGTTAACATCAGAGTCTGCATGCTGTAAAATGCTCATTAAAAGACACAAAAGGATATTTTGACGCTGTAACCCCAAGAGTGACTAGCATTTAATTTCTCCTCACAATTTCACCCTAAAATTTAATTTATCCGCACAATTTCACCCTAAAATCATGCATTAAGGTCACAAGAGAACACAAAATGATCACCAACTAAAAAAGCTCTTGATTGTCAAGCAAATTCTCCTTGTCTGCACCTTAGGAAATGTATAGAGAACAGTATGAAGAATATTCATACTGATGTCAGGGTATAAAGGGTTAACAAGAATAAATCTTACTATACAATGGTTGTTAGGGATGGCCTTGAAGTCCCCAACAGCCGTGAAAACTCCTGCATCACTGGTTCAATTGCCACAGAGCCTGAGATGTAGTCACTTCTCTGTTTCTACTGAGCCCAACGACTCCCCAATGATGGACACTTATAAGGAATTCCATTGTCATCTTCTTGGAACCAACCATTTGACGTAATGTTGACGGTAACCCTTTCTGTAACATCAAAACAAGAATATTTTCATTCACTCTCTATAATTATATAATATTTGTTGTGCTGCCCTCAGAGATTCAAGGCCTGTAGTATTTTTTTCATTTTGAGTTCCTTCTCATTTTAAATTTCTTTTAAATCCATAACCCTACCTGCTAAAAAAAAAAAAATAGAAATTTAAGAAAAAATAGATTCTACTGGGCATTCCAAGATCAAAAGTGAGTTACACAGCTTTGTACATAAATCTTGCTTTACTTTCAGGGCACTTAAAAAAAAAATAATAAAGATTAAAAGTAAAGGTAAGGCGATATATATATCTTAACCCTTGAAACTCCCAGGAGTGACCAAGACAGAATTTCTCCTTACTATACCATTACAATATCAAGTAGACAAGTGATGAGAATAAAGTAAGATATCAGTAAGTAGATTATTAGTTAATCCAATATCAAATTCTCTGAACCAACATCAAAAGAATTGAACGGCAGAAAGTAACTTAAAGAAGAATTGCTACTGAGATCTTGGGAATGAAATAATAGGATTGCTTACCATTCATAATAACATCCTTTGTTAACAAGCCATAAAGAAAGGCAGCTGCACTTTGTACACATCTTGTTACCTGGGTGGATCGCACATGGAGATTGCTAGTCTTAATACCTGAATCTATCAAGGTTTTGTAAGCCGTTCTCATGTGTTTTCCAAGAGCAAAATGCTGAAGAAAACCTCTCTGTGTAAGTTGACCAATTCGGCAACGGCTTCCTGGTGTTGGGACCAGGTGAAAGTTTGTCCTTGCGTTTCTAACAAATTCACGTGGGATAATGTGTCTTGTTGATTGTGAATATTCTTCAAACATTTTCTTGTTGTTATAATCAGAACTTTTGAATGTACAATCAAAATCATAGTTCCCATTGTCCATGTGTGGGATATATACAGCAGGGGATCTGTCTCCATGCCGAATAAGTACCTGCGTCATTTCTAGTCGAAAGCGTTGCTTGTCAAGATGGCTCTCCAGGTTTAGCAATCCCTCTGCACCAGCAGTACGCATTGGAAAGTTACAATAGTGTGAAATTAATTGCTGTAATCTGCTTGAAAATTTCATGCCAGGTGATATTGGTTGATCAAAAGAGGATGGTGATTCGGATGATGATTTGGATGAATTCCACACTGTTCATACAAGTAACACGAAGTATTGAAATGAGTATATCAAGAATTGTAAATGTATTTCTCAATCAAATGCCACTCCTTGATTTAATGTCAACCTCCTGTCAGGAACACTTTAACAACTAGATTCCATGTTGCCTTGCTTCTGTCCATTTTAAAATCACTTGTGATCTATAGCTGAACAGATGCATGGCAACATGGAGTCTATTTGTTAATAGATTACAAGTGACAGCAAATGGGATATGAAAAAATAAAATCACACACAGGTGAACCCAAGTGTGTAAAATTAAATGTTCTCACCACATTTTAAGGTCTTCTGTGATCTATTATTGTTTATAGTTCACCATTAAATGTCCTCCAGTTCTTATTGGTTTAAATCGACCACGTGATGCAGTAGTATTCATCTGTGGAGAGACACTATCAGCCCATAGTGCCCGCCTGTGGAAAATACCCAGATGGATAGTGC